TGACAGTGGAACAACTCATTCTTTCGCCCTCGATTTTTTGACTGGGGTTTTTTTTAAGTCAGAATGAGCTGGCAGTGCAGTCACGTCAGTCTGGTCTGCAGTGCAACGTTTCCTCTGTGATCGTGTGTGTTGCCTCCTCACGCGCGCTTAAAGTAATGCATGCGCGTGATTAGTTATGAGGGACGTCACTGGCATACATGCACCATCTATCTATCTATCTATCTATCTATCTATCTATCTATCTATCTATCTATCTATCTATCTATCAATCTATCTATCTATCTATCTATCTATCTATCTATCTATCTATCTATCTATCTATCTATCTATCAGAAAACATCTCCTATACTACGTCTTTTCCTATATTTTTTTGCTCTTTCACTAATATTTGCTGTTAACCTGATGCTGCAGGTGCACGTGCATATTCTGGAGGAAACAAAACAAAACCAAAAAAAAAAAAAAAGAAAAAGAAAAATCCTTCCGACCTCTCTCTCAGCTACTTCAGTGGAATTAATGCTATTGTAATGCAAGTGGTATCGTTTCAAGCTGCTGCGCACCCCCCCTCCTCCTCACCCTCCCTTCCATCCACTTCTTAAAGCCCGTTGCCACCGCTGCATGTGACTAGATCCCCCCCGTGCGCGCGCGCGTGTGCACGTGAGGGGCATGCAACACCAACACGTGCCCCCGCGTGCGAGTCGTTTTTCTGACGCTCACGGACGCGATGGAAAATGAAAAAGAAAATAATAGTGGAGACAAAAGTGAGCGCTTTTTTGGAGTCTTAATAACCTTTTTAGCTCAGTTTTTTTTTTTTTTTCATCCCGGGCAACAGTAGGCAGCTCAAAACAGAGAGAGAAACCCAGAGAGCGACTCTTGCCTTCCCACAGCTCCATCTCTGGGCAGGTGATGGGAAAAGGTTTGGGGGTTTTGCGCGTGCGCGCGATAAAAAAAAAAAAAAAAAAACGACGTGTCTGCGCGCGCGGAGCTAAACGGATATAGATGGATGACGGTAATTTGGGAGAGAGATGTGCAGGTTATGGGGAAATAATCGGTCGCGATGAAGAGTGTCTTTTGGATTGTGGAATAAGGGATAAAGACTAACTACGCCCCCTCCCTTCTGTTTGTGGATTCGTCACGGCTCTCTCTGTGCTGATAATTTGTCTCGTTTCACACAAACTTAAAGGGCCAACTGTGGGAATTTGGCTTTCGGGGGCAATATGTTGCAGTATTGCTAAAAATGAAAATAAATAAATACCTACACAGGCCTTACCTTTTGAGATAAATATGAGTTCATATGAGTACTACTATAGTTGTGAATCCACAACTATTTGCCCTCTTGAGAGATTTGTTTTCCTTTTCTGGAGTCTATTGTCTCAAAGTACATGAGTGTTGTTTCTCATTCACAATGTTCCATCTGACCATTTGTGCCCCTGAAAAGTTTTTCTTTTTTTCAGTTACTTAATAATAGCATGATCTAAATTGTTAAATTTTAGATTTTGCCTAAGTCAGGTGCAGCAGTCTCAGTTCAGTTTGTCATATCATTGGACAATAAAAAGTTTTTGTAGCTTCCTGCATGCCATTGTGTATTAACTGCAGTCTTTTTGCATTTAGTTAGTTATTTTATCTTTTCTTTGTAATATTCTTTACTCTCACTGTGAATTATATTCTCACTTTTTTATTTGTTATTGTCACTGTTGCAAAGAAGTTTCCATTGGGATAAATAAAGATGATCAAATCTTGAATCTAGCTCCGGGCTGTTCCAAAACTTACTTTAGGCTTTATTTCTAAACCATTGCACATTGAATCTCAATCCTCAGTCAATCAAGATGTTACTGTCTGTGAGTGTCTGTAAATATCGAATAAAAAAAAGTTCTCGGCTGGTTCAGAAGTTAAAGGGGAAATTTTAGAGCGGCTGAATTACTGGGCACCCCTGGAACTACATTCTGTTGTTAGGAACCATTAGGAGTGACTTGCCTCAATCAGTCGTTTTTTTGAGGAACAAATCAGGCTTCTGGTAGAAGACAAAAGCCGGCTCCCCCTCTGCGAGCGGCTCTCTGCAATCAGCAGAAGTTTCCATCTCCTCTGAGTCACTGTTTCGAGGTCAAGTCCAGCGTGATGTATTGATGTGAAGGTGCGCACACATGTGCTCGTTTATACCGACTCCTACACATTTGCCCCCCGGCATACATGCACACTGATCCACAGCACAAATAGACATACCTATACTTGCATGGAGAAATCCCTCACATAGGTTATATGATTGTATGTAAAGAAAAACATAGCTTAATGCGTGCGTGCACGAGCGTAGGCCGCTCACGGCTGCTTCAGGCTGTTCACTTCACATCAGTTCAACGTTCACTGTCTGTTAAATGTTCCGATGCAATTTGGTTGGAGGTGTTTCTCAAAAGGAAAACGTAGATTTTGATGTGATGTATTTTTTATAAGCTCTATAAAAAACGATGCCTAAGAAATACAATAAATTGACGTCAACACTTTTTGAAAAGTATTTTTATCCTTATGATCTGATTTGTCGTTTTTAGGATTAAAGAGTATTGAATTTCATCTTTTCATATTTATAAAAACGAGAGAATCATTCACTGTTGCTAAAATTCAGAAGAAGAAAGGTCACTCAATAATATGATTAACTATTTTAGAATGTACATGCATATATATATAAAAATATGTTTTCTAATTGCGTTTATTTATTTGTTTATGTTCCAAGTCTTCATATTTTCCAGGTCTAGGTATATATTTGGTAATTATAACATCAGATGAACAATAACACGACACGATTACTGAATAAACACTATAGCCAATAGTGTGGGATAAACCACCTTTATGGTCACAGTGGAATTAAATAGGCAGCTACTAGCTTCCACTAATTAAATGCACATAACTGATGTGGGAATCTCGGTAAAAACAACAACAACAACAACAACAATGCTTTGGTGGTTTGCTAGTCTGTGGCATCCAGGTCTTGTTTCAAAAACACAAAGGAGGAGAAACATCAGCAGTCATTTTCAAGCCCATCAATTGTGTTAAGGCTAAAGGCTAATTTCCAAACAGTTCGGAGTCCATTATCCACAGAGAAAGATGATTGAAAAGTGGGAAACCTTCAACACAGCAATCCTCCCCAGATGTGGACGTCCCATCAAGTTCACCTGAGGGTCAGGCTGTGCAATGTTGAAAGAAAACCACAAAAAAAATCCCCAGAGCTGCATCTCAAACCCTACAGGCCTCAGTTAGCATGTTAAATGTTAAAGGTCGTGGCAGTGCCCTGAATAACAGCCCAAACAAGAGAAGTGTGTCTGGAAGCCAGAAAGCCTTTTCCCTCTGAAATAAACATGGCATCAACGCTTTGAATTGTAAAGTTAGACATGATATTTAGTATGAGTGCGCAGCATCATGTGTGAAAAAAAAAACAGTATATCAACACAAACATCTTATGGTGTGAGCGGTAATGACTTGAGCTTCTTTTGCAACCACATAATCTGGACATCTTGGGGTTATTGAGTCCACCGTAAACCTGTCTTTGCACCAAAATATTTGAATCAAAGGTTATATATTCATGCATCAGGACTTTGAGGTTTTGAAATAGTTTGGTCAAACAAGACGTCACACAGAAAATAATTACTTCCATTTATTATTGCCTTTCGACAGGTTAACTATTTAATCATAGGGTGGAGGTTCTTACACAGAGCATACACACAGTATTTTAGTTTAAAAAAATAATATATAATCACAATTTCTATAGACTTTATGAAAAATTGTACAAAATTTGTGATTTTATGATGTTCTTTTTTCCACCACATTCCTATATTTCAACCAAAATATGCAAAAGTGAAGAGTTGATAAATAATAGTATCATATTGTTTCTTGTGTATCATATTGTATCTCTCCAGAATGACAACACAATGACGTTTCTGAGATAATGCTCTGTACATCTCTTTGTTGTACCACTTTTTTCTGTTGTTTAAAACTTTTACAGTTTAGCAATTGACAACAAACATTATCCACAGTACAGGAAATGGTATGTTTCTAAACATTATAAAAAAAAAACATATTTTGCATTTCAAAATTAAAGGCAGGGGGCACTGATAACACTATTTACAATATTTAGGGTGTATTTCCTTCTGCATTAATATCATAATGCACATTAACATGCACATAGCTTGCCCACAAATGTGAATTTAGATCCAAGACTTCAATAATCAGTCAGATAAATATTCATGAATGCCAACAAACATGACACCATCCAATCGTACACACTAATATTATCCACAACAAACGCTGGAATTATCAATCAAACACAGAAGCAGTAGAAAAATTCAACATTTTTCAGCTGCCATGCAAAATCGTTCTCACATGTTTACAGATGATGATCTCTAACTAAATCCATCCATTCTTTTCCATTCTTGTTTAATCCATTTTAGGCGCTAAGAGGTCTGGAGCTCATGCCAGATGTCACTGAGCAAAAGAGAATAGACATAGAAGTTCCCATAAATTCCATTTCCTGAATAGTGCATGGTTAAAAAAAAACCCCCGTAAAGTCAAGGGCATAAAACATAAAAGTCTTCAAAGAGTATGGTAAAAAACAATCATGCAATCAAACATAAATAGATGCACTTCATGGACAGTCCACCATGGTCA